ATCTAGCATGGGTGCCGCACCAAGGAGACGGACATCCGGCCTTGAAACTCTTGCCAGACCATGTGTGAGCTGAGGCTGTGAACTCAGTTCTAGCAAGAGTTTTAGGGCCGGATGTCCACCGCTGGGTTTGCCGGCTCAAATATCATTTTTTAGCCAGAAAACGAATTTTTGAAAGTGGCTCTGGTGGGACCCGTGGTCGGTTTCCAGGCCACTCCTGGCCTATTCGACCCAATATCTACTCTGAGCAAAAGCAAATCTATGTGTTGCCAGGCGCGATCAGTCGTGACGATGAAGGTGGCACTCATATACACACAGGAATCAGCTTTCGCAGGAAGGTCAGCAGGTAAAGTGACCACCTTGAGAATCACAGCGCACACGAGTTTATGTTGCCGCTCGAACCTTCCCCGCTACAGTGGCGAATGGTCGAAAGCAATGTAGGGCTGGCAGGACCTCTGCGGTCCTGGGATCGATCCCAGGCACAGCAGGATCTTTCCACCAGACTAGCCGATTCGGTGTAAAAGTTCCCATGCGAGACGGAAAGCGATCCATATGGTTGCTTTTGCCATCAAGCCGGTAGCTACATGTGTAGACGCCGATCTCACCCCATGATCGACTATATGACATTTTCACGACTTTTGCTCTGTGACACAATGGCTCCGCGTGTAGAAGGCAGGCTTCTAGCCAACGAAAATTTCGCGCAACTCTTGAGTCGCACGGGAACGGACCGCTGTACGATGGCAGCCATGACATCGCTTCCGTCACACCGCCCTGCTCCATCCGACATATAATCGGTTCGAGCAGCTCGCAGTCCGTGTCGCGATCTCCCTCTGTATTCATGCTCACGTTCAACATTTGCAGACAACCCTCGAAGTGCACACAGCCCACACCTTGTCAATTTCGAATACATCGGCTTCCCAACAGAGCCCATTCAGAGCTGAAACGTACTCTGTGCTGGTAAGGTGCGGTAAATTTTTCAGTGAGAGAGCCCAGACCTCTGAACTGATTAGTGATACGCAAAACAAGGCGCTAGCCTAGTGCGATCCACCTCTTTGCAGGCGAGAGGCGCCCGTCATTCCACTGCGCCATTCGAACACTGCTATCCGGCCTCCCACCGCTATTGTTGCATGTATGTGCGGTCTGAAAACTTCGTTGATAGCAAGACAAGTTTTGAAACCACTTCTTATTAGCGTCTCCATGCGCTCTCGATGGAAGGAAAGATATCGAAGAACACCATCCACAACTAGAACTTATCACAAAGCTGCGTCGATTCCGGATCGAAACTCTCTCTCTCCCATCTCTCTCTAGGAACTCCTTGAAGTAGAGGGATTAGATGGTAAGATTTTGCAACTGCACAACACTGCTGATTTGAATGCGAGCAGTCGAGGAATTCTCCAGCGTATTTTCGGCCTGCTTATTGCCTCACAACATACTTTTACATAGCCAGTATTCGAATCGAGCAATTATGAGGATGCCATTACACATCACTTCCTTCTCGTCGTGATTGCTCTTTTTTCTCGTACGTACGACATTTCCTCGCAGGGATACTTCCTTGTCATCAAGGCTGGAATGAACCACTAGGAAATCATCTAAGCGACAATCCCTGATCAAAACAATAAATCAATAGATAGTAAATGAGAAAAAATAAATTTCAAGTGTTTTATTATGTACAAAGTTCAACGAAAAAGGTGAAATAGAATGGCGATGCAAACAAATTTCAGCTTCGTAACTAGACTTCAACCGAATCTGTCACTCTGAACATTACAGGCCAACACAGTCCCTCTGAGCAAACCTATCGGCACACCATTTGCTTCCGACAACTCTGATGCTTCGATTGTGGTTCGCCCTAGAAGTGGTCAAGGAATGGCTCGAGGTTACTCCCCGATCAGTCGCAGGAGAGGTTACCGCGCGACAACTAGCCTTTTACGGGATGCACGCGCGCCACGTCGCCCTTTCCACTGTTCTGCTCTCACTCATTCACGCACCACTTTGCCGGGTCTTCGTTTCGCCAGTTTCCACGCTGAGCGAATATCCCGATTTAGTTGCCGCGCCTGCTGGTCAAGGCTCGTCCCAAAACGTTGTGGTGTGATTCTTAGACACACCACCGGTAAGCCGAGGGGGATTTTTTGGCATGGGCCGCATTCTACCATCAAATTTACCGAGCACTTTTGAAGCCATGTGTATTGGTCAGTGGCGCTTGTAGAGGTCTTGGTGATATCTCTATACTGCTCGTCATTCTCCTATTCGAAGTGCGACTGACAGCGCCGACATGCTTAGATACTTGAGATATTCAGCTGTTGGTTAGTAAGCATGCACAGCGTATTTCTGAAGTGGGCGAAGGCTTGAACGAGAACGTCATGTGTGGTCCGGTTTTTCTCTTAGGAATCCATGGAAACAACAACAACAACAAAATGATGTAGTTAGACAGCACATGAATTTACATATAGAAAGAGAACATGAAGGAATAAGGCGATTTTGTCTTGCGTACGCACTGTAAGAAGGAGATCGTTCGTTGCTAGTAGAGACCGCTTTTGTGAAGATTCTGCTGAATAATCATTGATATTACTGAATCGAGAATTTTCTGCACTTGGTCAGTGTCCGTGGCGCAGGTCTCGTGCACGAATATGGTCTTCTTCGGATTCTGGTTCACAACTCGAACCGCTGCTTGATGTACTTGATTGAATCCTCGTATGTTTGTGGTCCTGTAACAACCAATTACAGTAAGCTACAGTATCATTTTTATAAACAATAGAAAAACCTCTTAAGTAACTTTAGTTTGGTTGTAAAGAAAAATCGTGGCGGTGAAAAGTAAATGGCTATTGAAAAAACGGAATTCTAGTAGGAGCTTAAGGTCGTTTTTGAGTTAGAGGGCTGATATGTTCGAAAATACGAAAAGGAGGCTTATTGAAATAAAAATCACTAAACACTGAACTTTCCATGTGGTCAAGGAGATACATAGCACTGTGAGAGAGGACACATTTGAGAAAGTACGTTGTAGCGGGAGGGTACAGGCACCACTTAAGCCGACCTCGTCAAAAATGGCAGCGGTCGCAGCGGTCAAGCAAAGGCATGGTTCGTTGTCGTGCGCGATCATGTTGCGACAATACCACAACCCCGTGATTAGAAATTACCTCACCCTGAGAGAGGACTATTCTTGGGTCTGATTGCGAACCGTACTCCTTTGCAACACAAAATACCGTAATAACTGAACCAGATCTCATTTAACCCTTTCCGGACCGCGCACTTTTGCCGTGGCGGGCGCGCGTGCTACACGGCGAGCATAAATAAATATATTCACCTGTATTTCCACTGAAATCATTACTTTGTCCCGCTTTTGTATTTTTCATGCCTAAGAGTATATATGTAGTGAATATGACAGAAAACCGTCGTGTAATAAAAGTGATAGGGCCATAAAAAGGGAGGCAGGAATGAAAATTGTTCAAAATAAGTTGTAGTGGGGGAAAAGGGAGCGAAAAGTGTCCGAAACGTTGGATTAATACATCAGATACGACATGCACACGTGGTCATAAATTCTGTTGTATGAAGAGTTTTCAAGATGATTTATAACTGTTTTCTCTGAGCTCAAAGTGGACATCCATTTAGTATTTAGTTATTTTAGGGACTAGTTTGAGGTTGAAGTCTAGGTTTTTCGTACGTACGACATGAGTATCTTACATAGATATGTAACAACGTATAAAGATTTTGTCGAAAAACCTTATCCTCGGAAAAATGGTTCCTGGACAGCCCCATGGGTGTCCGCGGGTCCGGAAAGGGTTAATTATTATTGCGGTGTGCCACACATTCAGGGTTTTTGTGGAGCCTTCGGGACTGATACAACGAATCTTTGGCCTGGCGAAGCTTCTCGAGTGTGCCTGTTCACATGTGAACTGATAGTGGGGATCGGATACCACCCAGTGGATTCCGTAAAAAATCTCCAATCGGCTTGCGATTGTCACAGTCCCTAGCACACACGATAACGCGAATACCTCCGAAGCTGACCTATAACAATATTCTGATCTCAACGCCAAGACAAGTTCAGAAACAATGGGAGATAGGGGAGGCCATCCGGGAAGTACACTTGTAGCACATGCCTATCCAGCTTTATTCTGCTGGCTGCAACTGCCATTACTTATAAAGCAGTCAGAGTAAATATTGCTCTAAACAGTGAAAATGGATGCGCCAAGCGGATCTACGGTAAAAAGGAACAATAGTCGCCAAAAAGAGCCTCTCTTGTTTAGCGGTGAACGAGTCTATGGGACGGGCAGTCAGAAGACAGAGCCAGAAGGACACTAGAGATCGATAGTGAGAAACAAAAGTCGAAGACGATCGAGTAGCGGATGAAGGAGGTAGAAACCAGCGCAAGGTGAGTGGCCGGAGTTCAACAGCGGGGCTCCATCCAACGCGGTACTACCTTCACTTCCAATGTCCTATTCACTGACGAGTTTGTTCCAGTAAGTCTAATGGAAAGTGTCTATGAAACAGTGGGACTTGAGCCTGCCCTGTTATACCCATCCAGCCAAGTCCTCCACTGTGATCACTGCTGTCAGGACCTGATCACAACACCAGCCGATCACTCAATATCCGTTTTGTTCACTTTTGTTTTTTCTACGCTCCCTCATGATCCTCGCTTAACCCTAACTAAGGCGACAGGCGTACAGAATTCGAGAGCAGCGAGCGCCTTGTAATCGCTGCGTCGCTAGGTAACGTGTCATTTATTTTCTAGTTAATCTAACGGAATATGTTTTTTCTTCGCCTAGAACAGGCAATTATGAAGAAAAGCTTCAAGAGTCCCAATTATCATGCCGCCACTGCAGCCTACGCGACGGTAGTTGTCGATGTGTCCAGTCAAGCGAGTTTCATTTTTTAGACATACAAAAACAAACAACTAAGAAGCGAAGATCTCCAAACACCATGACTACCAAGTAAGCTTTTAGATATTGAAAAACCAACTGTCGTCATCAACTCAAGGTGCTGAGGATATAATATCATTTCGTACAACTCGGAATCATCGTTGGATCAGTCTCATCCATGGTACCCCCTTAAGAATCGTAAGGGTCTCAAGGGCATCGGGATTTACGAGGCCTTGCGAATGACCCGTTTCTCTATTGATATCACTCAGTTCGCTTTTTTTTCAATCAACCTCGAGACCACTTTTTGTACATGCTCGTGACCCTTACGAGATAATAGCATAAACATGCACTCATTGTATAACAATAGATAGAAAATCTATGGAATTTCGTGGAAATATTACTACAAATGAATCTTATCAAAACAACATGATCTCAGAAAAAAAATTATGAATAGAGGCGACAAAATAAAATTGTATTCTGTTCAGGAACAACTCAATAGCGTTAGAAGGTCGAAAAATTACATCTCTCTGGCAGCTACATATAAAAATAACAATATGTCCTGTGTAGTTGCTGTCAAAACCTTTGTAGTACTACAGGGGGGGGGGGGCAAAATTACTGGTGCACCAATATTTTGCTGGCATTTCGAGACTAGCTTTCAGAAATCGATTCTAATCACGAATATTATTTGTAGAAAAGATGACAATTCAAAACGTATTAACAGTTCTCAAAATGATCGCCTCTAGCCTTTACACAGTTCTCTGAGCATTTGGCATACGCATGCCATGTGGCACGCAGGTATTTTTCATCAATTTTGTCCCAGGATTCCAAAAGCGCCGTCATGAGAAGGTTCAAATTTCGGTAATTGATAGGGCAGACTTTTTCCTTTAGGATAGCCCATACTTGGAAATATATCGGTCTTTCCGAAGAATTGGAGAACCATTCGTCATAATTGGTGGAGTTGAGGGTTTGCTCGGTGCACTGTTTCTGGACCATTCACGGTCAGTGTCCTGAAGCAAACCCTTTGGTGAATTCACCCGTAATCCTCTCCAAAGTGAAGACACGCCCATGGTTTTGAACAAATACCGAGTTTGAACGCTATTTGAACAAAATTTGGGGATTTGAAAAATCGTCGAGAACGGTTTCGCATAGCGCTCTGCTGGAGGTTGATTGGTGCATTTCACAAAGTGGAAGGCTTAACCAATTTGTGTTCAGGGCGTATTAGTAGCAGAGTGTTCAAGCTACATACCATGAAAGAATTAGACAAGAAAGTGTACAACAAGATTCAAAAAAATCCATTATATTTAGGTGCACCAGTAATTTTGCCCCACCCTGTAGTTTCGAAGCAAATTTCGGAGTTAAAACTATAAAATATTAGCACTATGCATGTCTACATCAGTAAGTATCAGTCTACAGTAATAGCTGAGTTAGCCGATTGTGAGCAAGCTAATCGGATGAGCATCTTTACCCATTGGAGATTGTTGTTACTTGTGCACTACAGTAGGCTTTTGCGGCCTGTTTTATCAGTTATCAGAATAAATCACCATAAATTTTATCTGTACCCAAAAGTGCGGTTTCTTTTCTGCCCGAAAAAGTTGCATGACTGTGTAACTTGACAAATGCTAATTAAATATAAATATAAATATAAATAAAATAATATAAACAAATAAATTAGAATAATAAAGACATACTGTCATTTTTGCTGGCCTGCTGCTTATAGTGCAGCACGTAGTGGGCAATGGCTTATATTAAAGGAGGATCCACGATAGGGTCGAAGAAGGGAAAATTACCTGGTATAAGGACAGGAGGACCTCCTTGGGAGTTGATCGACACGCAATTCGCTGCAAAGATTATCCTCCAGCGGACTAGCAGAAATATCCGTGCCCGTGCCCTATGCACTGCTGCCCACGCACTCTCGTCGCCGCTGACTGTAGCCGTTCAGCAGAGAGCGAGCAGCAGCGATGAGACTGTATCAATAAGAAAGTTAAGGGACAAGAACGGGGTCCCTCTCGGATCTGAGCCGGTTTCTAACAGTTTTCCTTCACCCCGCACCACTGACAACCTTTACCTCATTCTATGACTGTTTCCTGCCCCCGTAAACTCCGCCTCAGAGCTCAACGATGAAGTGGTCAACGTCGAACGAATCCTCGGTAGTCCATTCGACTCCAACTCAAGTACTCACATATAAGGTTGGCAACTAACTGCAGAGAGTCCTTGTTGTGAAGTATTTTAAATTAACATCAAGGGCTTATTTTAGCGTGAAATTGCCTCTAGGGTCTATGGTAAGAACCTTAGCAAAGTGAAACTTTTCTGCCACCTCCCATCCCCTCCCCCTTCATGTAGGCATGAGAGACGGGTGGAGGTCGTTGAGGTATGAACAAGGGAAGGGTTTTCACAAATTTTTCGAAAGTATTCAACAAGGATGACGTAGTACAAGAAGAAATGCACAAATAAAACAATTAGCAAAGAATGAATCAAGTTAGACACTCTGGCTTAACAGTGGTAATTGATTGGAAAGACTAACTACACCGAACAAAAAGGGCCATACTCAGTGCCAAGAATTACTGTATAGCAAGCATACCGTAAAAGCAAGAAAGGTGTGCTTTGAAAATTTTTCCTAAAATGTACATAGTTGAAGAGGAAGCACAACCAATGTGCCTTTCCAATCTGGCTCATCGGCTAAGGCGTGCGCATTTTCTGATCAACGGATACCGTTTAAGTGAAGTACCCATGTGGTAAAAAAATTAGAAGGAAATAGGAGGAAAATACGGACCTGAGTATTCTGGGAACGCTGTTTTGATGGACACACGCTGGATCTTCTCCATGAACAGATCTTTTTTATTCATAAACAAAATAATCGAAGTGTTGATGAACCATCGGCTGTTGCAGATCGATTCAAAGAGACGTTGTGATTCAAGCATTCGATTCTGAAAACAAGTCTTTCAGAAGGCTTGGGCGTGGATAGCCAAGTGGACAGAAGCGAAGCATTGCAGTTTCGTGGATCGAATCCGATACACACAGCTCAATAAAGTATGCAGGGTCAGGCGGTAAGAACCAACTAGCACACACTTGGTGAATCCAACTACCATCAGTAAAAATATTTAATGCTGCAACTCACCTAACAAGGCTCAAGTTGCGTAACGGTGCATGGCGTGGCTTACCACGAGCAGTGCGATTCGTGGGATCAGTTTCCACAGTGCACCTACTGGGTCGACTAATCGGTACCAGACTTGGGACGTTAACAATATTGACTTGTACAGCGGCTAGCCCCCGTAAGTAATTGAATAGTCCAAATAGCATTCAAAAGGTCACTATTTTTGAAGAAAGTAGAATGAAGGGCGCATTTCGAAAGGAGGCTAGTCAATGCTCAATCCTTTATCCTTCATAGCACTCCGGTTCTCCTTCTTTTCATTTGCTGATGAAACTGGGGGGGGGAGGGGGGCACTGTACTGATACATCACACCGTTACTTTGTCTCCTGGTTATCTCATATACTACAATATTACTTCACATAGGCTAAACTTCATTTAAAATTATAGCTAAATCCTTCAGACTCTTATTGTCGAGACACTTCTTACTCTGGGCAGCTACCAAAAAGCTTCAGCAAGCGAAGCCTCAAATAATGTCTTCTTCTAGTGTTAAGGTAAATCAATCACAAAACACCAAAAAAATCCCCACGAACCTTCGCTTCTTCTTTTTAAACACTGCTACAGCAGCACCATTTCAGTCCTTGGGAGCAGCACGCAAGAAAACACAATTCCGAACAGCTTTTTATTATGTGAGCTTTACAGCGTCACAAATTCGATTAGCCAACTTCCTTGTTTGCATGGCAACCGAAACCGAAGCACCATTGTCAATTACTTTTTTTGAGCTGACTACGCAATAATTACCTCTAGTAATTTGAGCCCTAATCGAATATCAGCTGTCTGTCCGAATCGCCATAGCTTTTGTAGTTGACAAGTCCCTTTTTGGAATGCGCTACGCAGTCGACTTTGTGAGGATCGGAGCGGAATTTGTATGGGGTTTGGCCTGTCCAACAATTTGTGGAAACCATCTAATACAAGTCGATCCCCTATATTGAAACGGATCGCCTTCTTATCAAACGTCCTGGATCCGATCAAGATACCAGACCCTAACCAACGGTGTAGCATGAGCAATTATCACAGCCTCACTACTCACCTTAACACTGTACCCAACAATAAATCAACAATGACAAGTTATTCATCAGGAGAGTCAGCCTTCCGTCCGAGCTTCAAAGGAACTTTCCGTGACATAACCACAACAATGCCATTTCAACCAACACTGCTTCTACCAAACTTTGACTGGGACTGGAAGCGTCACCTCTCACACTAGGAGCGCTTAAAGGAATCTTCTGCGGAAAAAAGCTCCGCCTCCATTACCACAGAAAAACGATACCCCTTAGGCCCCTAGCCTCATGAGCATAGCAAAAAGAACGGAACATAAGCGTTAGTTTCGATAATACTAATCCTACACACAAGACAAAATGATCACTCTTTCCGTGGAAGATTCCTTTAAGGTATCGTTCTGTGGTAATGAGGGCGGAGCTTTTTCCGTGAAAGATTCCTTTAATCTTTCAAAAGTTACCAAAAACCCACAACGTCCGTCAATTTATAATATTCAAATGCAGCTTAACTTGATTTCTCAGAACACTTCCTCCAACAATATGATTTTTTTTGCCAAACGCTAGTGCCCGCAGCTTCGCCAGTATGCGTTTTCCCATGAAGTATTCCCTAGGAGTTTGAAAATTGACAGCAAGTGATGCTATGCTCCTCTACGACCACATAGTGTGCAAAACCCTTCTTGAAAGCGGAAGCTCATGAGCACAAAGAATTTATCAACATAAACTCTGAAGTGGGGTTTACATCAAGAAAAGTCTCTGAGGAATGGAAAACTGCAACTGTGCTATCTACGTACGTTGTGATCTCGAAGCCTAGCGCATAGTCGTAACCCCATGTCTCCCCTGATCCGCGACTGTCTATTCACAAAAAACATCTCTTCGATACCCGTATCGAAGGAGACGTTAGGCGTGTATGGCATTGGAGAAACAGCTCAGAGGCTTACCGTAGTCTCGTCCTCAAATAGCACTTCATCATATTCACTGACGGCGGCTATGAAGATTATGGCGTTCACATTTTCAAAACAATGAATCCATTTTTTCCGTTCGGATCGTTGACCGCCAACGTCGAAAACCCTGAAATCCTCATAGGGTGGTGTTTGAATCTCATGAATGTCTTTCTCATGAAGTTCAATTAGTTACATCAAGTGAACTTCGAAAGCGCTAAATACAAAGCGGCTACCCCAACTCGCACCTGAAGTGAACTTTTTTGATCATGAACGAGACTTCTACGATTCCTGTGGTCTTTATTCGGGTAAGCAGTATGTCTTGATCGGTTGGTTTGTAATTCACATTCGATATCCGGTCGACGCTGTCGAGAAAACTGAAAATCGATTTTGATTTTAACAATGAGTTCATGCGGAAAAGAAGTTAGTTTATAAAATAGGCAACCTGAAATTCTGTGGTGTCTCTCGAAGGTAGTGATCAAAATACTGTAGGGCGGAACGGTCTTGATAACTTATTTCATCGAACGTTATTAGAGGACTAATACGACCCCGGCGGTGTCTTTAGAAGCGCGCTTCCATGAATCGAGTTCAAGGAATTCTTCAAAATCGCAACGTCCTCTAGCCAACGTCATCTGCTGTCCAGCTTGAAGTAATAAAAGGACCTCTTGCAGTCAAAAAAGATCGGTGAAGGATAACAAATTCATACTGCTGGAAGCGATTTTGAGACTGTGATTTTATTTGAAGAGCTAGGAATTTAGACAGATGGTTTTGCTAAGTTTTTTCTGCAAAAAAGCTTTTGGAAACTTAGTCAGCTTATTCCATGTTCCCAAGCCAGAATATGGAATTGTCACAGGTTTATACTGTTATTGTGACCTCTTAACGTTATTATGGTTGTTATATAATATATTACTACTGTAGTTATTATGATAAGAGCATTTTTTGCTACTTTGATTGCGAGTGCATTAAATATTATAAAATAATAAATAAAGTAAATAATTAGAAAAAAAGAAACACTGACAATCGAGTGCTTTCATGTAGATGACATTCCAGTCCAGTCGTTTCTCCTCATAGATGTCTTGAACGGCTTTGTCATTCCACAACTTCTACAAAACTAAGGATAAGTATGATGGCAACATTTCGCAAAGAACATTAGCCGAGGAGCATTGCTTGAAACTCTCACGACGATATTACTGCAGACATGGCGGTTGATTAAGTATGTTTTGCAATATTGATTTTGGGAAAATAGGAATGAAATAGTACAGGACCTTGATGGCCACGGCCAGTCAGGCGTGAATGGTTCCGATTCGCGACCCTGCTTGATCACATCTTGGACGATCATCGCGTCCGCCTGAAAACAGTGTCATCAGCAAAAACGGTAGGAGTTACATTTATTAGATGAAGTGCAGAGCGCTCATGCATATTACCATAAGCTGCTTTCCTATCATTAGTATTTATCTCGCCCTCAAAAGTTGAACGAAGAACTTCACATAAAAAACAACAAATGGGACTACGACACGCTCGATAAGCCAGTGCTATGGCCACATTTCATGAAACAAGGCAACCGCATTTTTGGGTCAAGTATTGTGCGTTTCAAGAACAAAAACAGTGATCTTTGAAAGTTCATGATGTTGAGAAACCGAGCTAGAGACCCTATCACAAGCTTCCCAAAGATTGTGTTGGCAACCGAGTTTCATCAATGGACGAGCTTTCAAGTAAGCATGAAAGATCAGGATCACACGCGAAGGTGTGATCCTGATCTTTTCATGCTTTCAGTGTATAAACAGAAAACAGACAGAAAGTAGGAAGCCGAAGGTGGCACAATTCAATCTCTTTTCCGTATACTCTTTGTTACGGTCAGTTCAGTGGTAGAGGATTATTTGACTCCTCTGAACTATGATACATTGTTTGGTTTATATACGGTGACAGTCTTGCCAGATGTTACAGGTCCAAAAGAAAATGATGTCTACGCAACGCTACACCACATACTAGGGTAGGAAGAAGTGATCACCTCTACAGATTCTAAGCTAAAGGAGAAGTTAACTATAGCATGTTAAGTAAGAAAGTCGTGGTTTGCCACGACACTCCTTCTAGCTCATAATCACTATTCTGTCAAACACTCTTAATTATAATGACACAGTTCGCAAAGGTCTCCATTGAGACGCCCTGTCTCAAAGGAGCTTGTCAATCTGTGGTGTATTTCTGACTCCGGGTGGTGATACATACCCATGCGCAATAAAGTAGTCAGATTGATAAATGACGGAAAAGGAAGAGCACACATTGGCGGTCGTGGTGTCAGGCGAAAGTAGCTTGCTACGTCACGATCGGAGTTATTAATAAATTTCAAAAACTTTGAAAAAACATCTCTATGGAGTTGGCTCTGCGTTTGTCGGTAATGCTCGGTAGGGAGACTCCGTTTAGAAGAAATTAATGAAGCAGGGTTGAGAAACAACTGAAGGCAATTGATTTTTTGCCGAAGTAAAAATTCTATTTCATTTCGTACAGTACCACCGTAGCGTATGGCATGTTACAGTACTTACCTCGCGTTCAGGAGACGAATATTTAATCTGGTACTGTTGCATGGCTTTGATCAGTTGATGCATCGCTGTCACCGTATTATTGTAGACGACCCGTTTCTGTTGTGTTATTTCATCGTCGGTAAACCCGTTATTGTGAAGTATTCGCATCTGCTTCAGCACCGTACTTTTGCCACATTCTCCCGCTCCTTGAATCATTCACAATCAGTAAAAGCAACGATAAGTTCGCTGTGATAATCTGATGAAATTGTAGGTACATATGGCGTAATTGCCATAGAAATAAGGAAAGTTTGTAGGTACATATGATACAATTGCATAGAAGAGAAGGAAGGTTCAGTGTTGCGGATTCTCGTGGAGAGGGGGGGGAGGGGGAAACATCATAGTACAAGACATATTTCAGTTCGTGCCTAATACAGTAATCCCAATTTTCGCAGGGAGAAGAGACGGAGATGGCTGGACCAGTTCAGTTAAGCAAAAAGAGGAATGGGTGACTACTGCTGCTTTTAACACATTGCGTACCTCGTGTCACATCATTTGGCTAACGGCTTTCCCGGCCCGAACAACAAATCTGAGTGGGACGTGATTAGACAAATTCCCAATAATTTTGTGTATATTTATAGTAAAAAACATGGTTATGATTAAAAAAGTACACATGTACGTCATGGTTCAGTGCCCGGCTCTCCGCGCTAGCAATAAAATGCACCCCAATACACACACCATGCCCAGAAGCCAAGCTTCCAAATCAGGTACCGTAGCTACGTATAAGAAGCAGATTAGGAGAAAAACTGAATAAAATATTAAAATGATTGCGCTCTGTGAACAGAAACAACAAACCTCCGAGAGATTAATCTTGATCTGATTCCCAAACATGCGACTGGGGCGATTCAGAGTAGGGGAAGTTTTCATTTGGCTCCATCCCATGTCGGTAACACGAGTATTTTCGCCTTTTGGGTCACCCTGGTCAGTTGCTTCGCTCTCTTCCAGAATGTATATTTGGGCGCCCTTTCTTAAAGCAATAGCCCCAGATCAAATTGGTGGGAACAACTGTCCATAATGAAATTGTGAATGCCGAGCTGACTAAAAATAAAAGAAAGAGCCGCAGAAACCGTCGGTAACCCATTCAAAAGGGTTCCCTCTCTTCTACACTCCCCCGACCAAGAGGGCGGAGCTGGACGAGTTCTCTAAACTCCCCGGCTCCCCGGCTCCACTAACCCACGTGTATTTGAAGTTTCCGCTACGTCATGCCTCATGCTGCATATCATGGGCTGTGTACGAGGTATCTCGTCTGGAAGCTCACGTTAGACGAGATCAGCTCACTTCGAAAAGCAATGGCACAAATGTGCTGCTGCCGCTCATTTTCGACCCGCGACAACGGCACATTTGTGATACTCGTGAGCTGCAGTCTCCTCCAATCACAGTAGATTCTTCAACAAGACTGTCACCCATCAGGAATTTATTGATTTGAATGAAAAGCTCTGGGAATTGGCAACTTGCATTAAGTGAACACACCTTGGATGGACCCTAAGTGCGTGTGCTGAGCAAAGAACACAACTTGCCAAATTTTCACTCAAACTCACCCAAAAGGAGCAACTTCACGGTTCGCTCATCAACAGCAGCTGTCTGCTTGATTTGCTTGTCGATCTGTTTGCTTTTATCTAAGCCACTCTTGTCCTCGTCACTCTGACACAATCCCATAGGATGACGCAGGCTCGAAAGCAATCCCTACAAATTCCAAACGGGGATCAAACTGAAAAAAGAAGAATAAGTAAATTAAAAACTATCAGCGAGTTTGATAGGCACGGCATTCGGATAACAGGAAACTATGTGCATTTCGGCAAACACGTGCTCGGGATAGCGACAGGGACAACGACATTCGTACCCGCAAGTACTATACGGACAATAGGCGCTGTACTCTTTAGGTAAATGACATTAGTGTGAATACGGGCATTCTGCTTCTGCACCAGAACAGACTGCACTAATAGAATAGATGAGGCTGATTGCTTAGAATGAAGCCAAAAAAACTCCATGGCGTAAACGTCAGTCTGTGGGTGATTCAGTAGAATAAGTGGAAGAGAAATACAGGAGTTATACATATAAACTTGAGAGAAGCATAACACTATAAAAGGAATTGATAAGATGAGCTAGAAATGAAATATGGAAGAAAATGAAAGCAACGGGAATCACCCAAAATGTCTTCTCCTGCTGAAAATCGAAAATAGGAACACCAACGAACAACATGGACGGGAGGATTTGAGGTTTACAGAAAGTCGACTGAAAAGGTTCAACGTTAGAACAGGCAAAAATCGGTTATCCATACTGTCTTACTTTACATTCACCTATTTTTTGTTGGCTTGTTAATTATTCGACTCAGAGACAGGTCATAGACAGGTACCCTTCGCTCCATTTTTGATGAACTGTTAGTTGTGCGCTTCTTTTGTCAAGCTACTCGTTGTCTTGAAAATCTGAAACTGCTTTTCAAGACCTGGTTTTCAGGATGATGGGCCAAGCGCACAATCTTGCCGCAATATAACGACACCTCTGCTTTTGTACTCGAGTACACTGATTGCTCAGCTCCCAGAAGCCTCTCTCGCGCGGCGAGAAGGTAGAGACGCAGACGGAACAGCGGACGAGTCGCAGCCCGTACTGTAGCGATTTAGCGCCAAGTCAAATACATACCATAGTACCTCCCGCATTACACAACACGCGCTGCGACTCGTCCGCCAATCCGGTTGCAGCTTTGTGTTCGCGCCGTGCGACGAGCCTCCTGTCGGGTCCGTCAATTCAAGCAAAGCAACATTGACACCATTTTCAACATGGCCAGGATTCAT